GTTCTTAATGATGATATATTTCTCGATGCTATAATAATTGCGAAAGAAATAGAGGAGAAGAGTATCTTTTTACCTGAAAATAATTTATATGTAAATTAGAGGTGAACTCGTATACTTTCTCTAATTGATTTCACAATATTATCTAATGCGTTAATAGCGGATCAAGTATTTTATCTTGATTCTAGATAAATTTTTTTATTGTTTATAATCTATTGACGGTAATTTTGGTAGTTTAGGATATAGCCTGAATGTTTATAAATGTGTGAATTGTTCTATGTTGTTTTGTGATAACCTATTATTTTTTTTGTTGCTTCAGTAGTTTTCATTAGTTTTTATTGCCGTATTTATGTTTTTGTTGTTCAGTGATAAATATGACACATCTTATATTATATGATATCCTATCTTTTACATTTTTTTGGGTGTTTTTTTTTACCATATTTTTAATTATATTATTTTTTAATTAAAAAAAGAGTATCTACATTCACCGGAAAGTCAAGAATCAAAATGTAGAGTTACATGCTTCATAATAAAACAATGGTTTGGCTGAGTAGGTTATTGGATTTTGTTTTAGTTTTTGCTTGATTTGTATTAAAAAATACTAGTAATTAACTTAACATGGGACATGATACAATTGACTATATCATTCTTAATTAAATTCAGATTTTGAAGGGAGGAGGGGGATTATGAAAACGGTCAGTTCCCTTGTCAGTTCCCTTCTTTCTCTTCCCAATTAAAATAAAAATTATTGAAGTGATGATGTGTAAAATAATGATATAATATGTACATTGGATTTAAAATTATACATTTCTTTAGAAATAAAAGTATTATATGCGCAAAAAAAGTATTATCTTTCTTTTAGGAGCACATTTTAAACGAGTGGTATTTACCCTCTATTTAAAAAAGAGATAAACGAAAAATGAAATTAAAAAAAAAAAAACAAAGTTGGATTCATTTTTAAAGGCAATGTAACCATGATACTTATTTTCACATATGAGCATAATAACAAAAATTGATAAAAAAATTCACTTAAAATTAATATTACAATATCTAGTTATTATAATTATTAAAAAAATTTAAAGATGATTGTTCGGCTAAAAGACTTTAATTTTGTAAAAATTAAAAAGTATATATATATATATATATATATATATATATATATATATATATATATATATATATATATATATATATATATATATATATATATATATATATATATATATATATATATATATATATATATATATATATAAACGATGCACAAAAGATCAAAAATACAAATCATGAGAGTTGAAAAAAAAGCAAAAACAATAGTAGCCATTAAAATTCAAAACAACACCAACACAAATGAGAGAGAAAAACAAACATTAGTGCAACTAGTAAGCGCCAAAATGGTATACTAATTGAGCTCCTTAGTCATAGACTAGCAAAAAACAACACCAATCTTTGATAGAACAACAAGAACACACCAAAGAGAAGACGAAGACACTCAAGCATGTATTTGTTCATATGTAGGATATAAGGGGTCATTGGCTTTGAAACCAAATAGAGTCACTCCTATCCACCATGGAGACACAGATCGAAGAAAACCAGCTTTATCACCCATGATAAAAGATATATGAGTAACTCCATATCTAGCAGATAAAATATCATGTTAGATGTCTGAAGCACCTGTAATAAACTTCACCTCCACTTACCCAATAGGTCCAGGTTATCCACACGAACACTGAGACCTCAAACTTCTTAGGCCTGCACACATCAAACCACTTAACTCATACAATCTTGGAACCCCTTTTTACACCACCCAAAGAAACCTCATTTAAATTTTCACTATCTTCTTCCAAACCTTAACATACATCTTTAAAAAAAGACAAAAAGAAGATATGATTTAGATTAAATATAGAATTAAAAAGGATCACCCTCCCTCCTAGGGACATATACCTAGGTCTCCACAAGAGAAGCCATATAGTGACGAGATTAACTAAAGGTTCCCACACAGGTTAAAAATAGGGGTTGTCCCCTAGAGGAAGACTAAAGTACTTGAATGGGAGAGACTCTTGTTTACAATTAAGGAAGTCACAAGCTAGATCTAAGAAAGTAGGGTTATAATTCACCCTAATGAAAGTACTATTAGAAAAATTTACTTGAAGGCCTGAGGCTAACTTAGACCCTCGGAGTATGGCCTTAATGGACTATAGATTCTCGATGGAAGCATCTTCTAGAATAATCGTGTCGTTCACATAGTGAAGATGAGAGACCACCAAATCAAAGGATCCCACACTAACATCCGGGAAAAGTTGCAGATCCATAACACTAGAGAATAGCCCACTAAGACATTCTTCCACCATGAGAAAAAGGAAATGATCGAGAGGATCATCTTTCTTTAACCCCCTTTGGATACTAATTTCTTGGATCGAAAAACTAGGGCTGAAAATGAGCCAAGTCGAGTCGAACTCGCCTCAGCTTGACTCGTTAAGAATTGGTTCAACTCAAATCTCGTTTCGAGTTCGATACAAAATTTTTTTAAGCTCAAACTCGACTCGTTATAAGTTCACGAGCAACTATGTTCGACTCGTTAGGTTCATCTCATTAGGTTCAGCTCGCTTGCTTCACGGACTTAAAATCATTTTTTAAAGTCTAGTTATATATATATATATATATATATATATATATATATATATATATATATATATATATATATATATATATATATATATATATATATATATATATATATATATATATATATATATATATATATATATATATATATATATATATTTGACATGTTAAATTAATATTATTTTAAAAATAAAGTATTTAAATAAAATAGAAGTTATTATATATTGGAATTTAACTTTGTCTAAAAAAAATACTAATTTAAAAATTAATTATTTGATATGATGCTAATTTTATTTGTATAATTATTTTTAGAAATATTTTGTTCACTTGAGAATATAAATCATCAATTAACACCGTTAGATTAAAATAAAATATAAGGTTAAAATTTATATTAAATCTTTAAACATAATCTTAAAGACAATATAATCTTTCTCATATATAATCGAGTTGGCTTATGAACCTAACGAGTCAAACTAGTATAGTTTAAGTTCAACTCATTTAGTTAACGAACTTAGTTTTTTGCTCATATTTAGTTCATTAGGTTCATGAACCAAGTTCAACGAATTAATTTTCGAACCGAGTTCTGAACTATTTTCAAGTTGGTTCGGTTCATTGTCCGCCCTATGGACAACCATTAAGCAAGAGCGCAAGGTTAACCAGAAAAGAAACAAGTATGAATAAAACCTCTCCACTTATCATTAAAACAAATTCTAAAAAGCATATAATCCAAAAAGGAGCAACTCGTTGAATCATAAGCTTTCTCAAAATTTACTTTAGAAATGAGATAATATATTTTTTTTTTTACTTTTTTGTTTTAGTTATATCTAGCAACTCATTCACAACAACCATCCCATCCTACCTTTAAAAAAGGTTGTCCGGTTAGGAGAAATAAAATTATCCATAACACCCAAAAGCAAGTCCACTAAGTCTTTAAAAAGAAGCTTATAAAGAGACATTTGCAAGGAAATAGGCCAAAAGTCCTTCAATCGAGAAGGAGAATTGACCTTTGAAATCAAAATAACAAAAAAGGGAGGAAATTGTGGGGAAGAAAAACAAACTAGTAAAATAATCAAACATAATCCCAACATCATCATCCTTATGGAGGGACCAAAACCTCCTATTAAAGGAGAAATTGAAACTATCAGGGCCAGGACTCTTACTAACATCACACAGAGAAACAATTAACCAATCAGTTAGAAAGAAGGAACTGACGCAATCCTCCTTTGAGAGAGAACGAAAAAGACCTCACCCAACCTCGATTGGTCAAAGAGAGATTCTCGAAAATGGCTAAAAAGTAACTAAACACCTCCTAAGGAATCTCAGACACCCCCTCAACCCAAGAATTTCCTACCTTTCGAGTTAAAATTGCATTCCTTCTAAATCTGCTCTTATTACAAGCATGAAAGATATTAGTGTTGGCATCGCCCTCCTTAAGCCATTTAACTCCCGATCTTTGAAAAAAATTAATCATTATCTACCTTAAGAGCAAGGATCAGAGATCCGAAGTGACCTTCTTCCTAGACTCAATTTCTCCACCGAAGACCAAACCTACTCAACTCTCCCATCCAAAGAGCTCACATCATCTCTTAAGGAAGCAACCTAAGAATAAAGATTTTCGAAATTTTGATAGTTCTAAGTTTTCAAAACATTTTTTTTGAGAGTTTTGAACTTCTTTTTTCATAACAACATTTTAACCTGTAAATTAGAAACTAATCCAACTGCTAAGAATTAACTCAGAAAAACAGAAATAAAAAACTTAATGTTTATTGAATCGAAATGACTTAGGACCCCACAAAATTTAAATTATAGTTATTAATGTCAATTAAATTAATAAATATATAATTAAAACTATTTTCCATAAATCTTTTCTCTTTTAAACACGAGACTTAAAAAAACTTTAATTAAACATTTAGTATTGTCCTTTTCCCTTAATTGTCCTTTCCACATGATGAAGGGGAATGAACGAAGTCTACCCTTGATTTTGTTAGTCCACAGTGCAGTTGGACGGTAGCAGCTTCTATGGTTGACTTAAAAGATGAATGAATTGCTTTTTATATTATATCACAAGACAATTGATGCATGGCTCAACCTGCAACACAAATAAGAGATATCATAGTAAACGCCAATTATTAGAATTTCATCCCTCTCAACTTTTTTATTAGAATTAAAAAAAAAAGAGTATATATTCACGAGATATTTCTCTATAAAATGAAAATATTTTCTTTATAAATTTTTTTTAATGAAAATGTTACAACAGCACTTTAGTCTTGTATTCTATATATATATATATATATATATATACTTTGTAAGACTAAAGCAATAAAGTCTTGCTGTGCACTCTTTATATTGTTCTTTAGAAGGCTGCATCCATCATTCATATGCTGTTGCTAGCTACAAAAATGGAAGCCAAAGTTGGAGTCAAAAATTTGCTACAAGTTGAAGAAATGCTATATGATAAATATACTGTGAGTTCATTCCATTCATGTAATTAGTATATAGCTAACTAACACTTAACCTTTTGTGTCGATATACATATATATTTACTTCATAACTTTGATTCTTTCTTTCTTGGTTATATATTATACCTAAGACATAAATTTTAAAGACAGATCTATAATATATCTGCATAGATATTATATTGGTTTTGAATAATTGTGCAGGTAGGATTTGGTTGCAGTGATCTGAGTTTGAGTCTGAATAGTAATAATAATAATAACTCAGAAGAGCTTCATCAGAATCAAGAGCAGTCTCTCCCCTTACTCAAAGTCAGTAATTTTTCTTTATTATATTTTAATTATATACACCCAAGGGTTGGCCTATTGGCGAAGACTTGAGACCTGAGAGTGTGTTCTTCTCCGGATCTCAGACTTGAATCCCGATAGGTGAAAACAATCTATGGTTGGGTGAGTCCATACATAGCTAACCTAATTAACCAACGTTTTTTGTGAGTGGACTTAATTCAGTTAGGGTGGCTGGAAACTAAGGTGGAGGAGGTGAAGAAGGAGAATCAGATATTAAGATCTATGTTAAATCAAGTAACTCAGCACTATGCACTTCTTCACACTCAATACTTAACCCTGATGCAGCAACATAAGCAACGATCTTCTACAGCGCCTAATAAAATCAATACACAAATATTAGAGGAGGATCAATCATCTGAGTTAGCTTCTTGCAGAAGAAAAGGTAGAGTGTCGATTAGGGCACCGTCAAATTTCTCATTGGTATGTATGTATCTTTCATTTGATTAACATCATACATCAATATATCATTTTATGCATATTTGTATATAAAGTAATTTGATTATCAGATGAGTGATGGGTGTAGATGGAGAAAGTATGGACAAAAGACATCAAAGGTTAATCCATGTCCCCGGGCTTACTATCGTTGCAACATGGGAGAAACGACACCATGTCCGGTTCGTAAGCAGGTAATTCAATTCTATATCAACATTTATTTTATTTTATGAAGTCAAAAGTACATGATGGTGTTCTTTCTCAACACTTTTTGGGAAGAATTGTTGTTAAGGTAGGTTGGGTTTGTTTGTCGGCGTTGGAGGATGGTTGGTATTGGGTGCTAGATCCACCGTCCAAAGTAGCTAGTACTCGGTTAATTCAAATTCTAACAAAAGTGTGAAAGAGACCGATATCTTTCAAGGTAGCCCGAGTTAAACTCCGTTTTCCTAGGAGTCAGAGTGCTATTTCTATATAACCTTTGAGTTTACTCTATCAAGTTTGGTATACTGTCCTCAAGTGGTTATGGATGTAGCTGGCAATGCCACCAAACTTGGTTTTGTCTATTTTGAGTGTTCACCTCTTTTGAAGGTTGTCCTCCTCATATGAAAAGGCCTCGCTTGAATCTATTATGTGGTGGTCTAGGGTATTTAGAAATCTCATAACTCGCTTGAATTTATCATGTGGTGGTCTAGGGTAATATCAACAAAGCAATATGGCTTTATTAGATTGAAATGAACCTTTACAAATACAACTTATAAGTGAAGTAGGTTTCATATTCTACAAGCTAGGAGTGGATACATTGGATTATGATCACCAACTAACTTCTAACTTCCACTTTCCATAAAGGGAAAGTTTACATAACTAGAAACTAACTAACTTGCCATATTAGGAAAGGTCTCATAACAAGTTAGTTATGGTTTAGCTTACTTGTAACTTCTTTTTTGGTTTATTATGTATATTCCCTCATAAAGTTGAAGAATAGATATTGATCATCCTCAACTTGGATAGAAGAAGTTGAAATGGTTGAAGAATGAGAGCTTTAGTGAAAAAAAATCAACTACTTGATCATTGGAAGACATAGACAACAATTTGAATAATTCATTTTGGAGCTTTTCTCAAATAAGATGACAATTAATTTTTAAGTGCTTTGTGCGTTCATGAAACACAAGGTTGGAAACTATGTGAATTGCACTCAAACTACCATAATATATGATATGTAACTTGGTGAAAGCAATCTTAATGTCATCAAGTAGGTAGACAAGCCACATTTCACGAGTTGCACCAATAGAGGCACAATATTCTGTTTCAGAAGAAGAACGAGATATATTTAGTTGTTTCTTTGTGCGCCAAAAATCAATGATTTTTCTAAGAAGAATCATTGGCCTGAGCTAGATCTGTTGGTTTTTACACATCCAACAAAGTCCACATATGCAAATCTAATGGTGTGAAGGGAATAATCTCGTGGGAGGAACAAACCACAAGCAAGACATTACTTCAAATATCTAAGGACTCTTGTGGCTGCATTGAAGCAAATTGTGGAAGGTTTGTTGAGGAATTGATTTAGATGTTGGGTGATGAAGGTGATTTTAAGTCTTGTAGTGGTTTGGTAAAGAAAACGACCAATTAGTCTTCTATAGTCTATGATATCATTGTATCTAGTGCCACTATCATAAAGATGTTTAATGGAAGGGTCAACAAGTGTGGTAACTAGTTGAGAGCCAAAGAGGTCCATGTTAGATATAAGATCTAGAAAATATTTTCTCTGACATAAGAAAAAACTTTTCTTTGAGTGAGCAATTTTCAAGCCAAGAAAGTATTTTAATTGGCCAAGGTTTTTTTATTTTGAACTTGTTGTGTAGGAATGCTTTGATCTTGTCAAACTCATCCAATAATTTGCCATCAATGATTACGTCATCTACATAAACCAATAGAAAGGTGAATGATGTTGCAGTTTTGTTAGTGAATAATAAATTATCAACATTGGCTTGAATGTAACCTTTATCAAGGAGAACGACTGTGAATTTTTTATACCACTTCCTACTAGCTTGTGTAAGGCCATATAAGGATTTTATGAGTTTGCACACTTGGTTTGGTTTGAAAGTTATGATGCCTAGCGTGTGAGATGTTGGATCGAACTCTAGTATGGTCGAAGGATAGCTTCTGGTTCGACATAAATTAAGCATGAGGTCGAAGTATGTTCGCATGCTGCTGTCGGAGTAATGCGTGTTGTAGTCGAAGTTTGTTATAACATGCATTAGTCAATATTGTTAGGGTTGTTAGCATGTTTAATTGGGCCTTACTTGTAAGCCCAATTGTTTAAGTTAGCTTGTACCCTAAGCTAGTTTGTAATGAGTAATTGTTAAAAAGTTCATTAGGTTAGTGTGTTATTTTTCTTATAAATAGGATGCTAGTTTCTCAATCTTGGCATAAGGAAAAATAGGAAGATAAAATCCTAATTTCAAGAGAGAGAGAGAGAGAGAGAGAGGTTATTTTATCTCTTGAAATAACCTCTCTCTCTTGAAATTAGGATTTTATCTTCCTATTTTTTATTATGTCAAGATTGAGAAACTAGAATCCTATTTATAAGAAAAATAGCACACTAACCTAATGGGCTTTTTAACAGTTACCCATTACAAGCTAACTTAGGGTACAAGCTAACTTAAACAATTGAGCTTACAAGAAAGACCCAATCCAATATGCTAACAACCTAGCAATATTGACTAATGCATGTGAACAAACTTCGACTACAACACGCATTACTCCGACAGTAGCACGCGAACATACTTGACTTCATGCTTAATTCCTATCGAACCAGAAGCTACCCTTTGACCATACTAGAGTTCAATCCAACATCTCACACGAGTCTTGTAAAGTGTGTGTTGGAAGTTGTTTATATGGGTGGAATGTTGAGCGAGGAATTCAAGTTATGATCATTGTCATCTATGTAGGAGATCTGTGGTAAAGGTGTGGTAGTTGGGATGGATGATGATGATATGGCTTATGGCATAAGGCTAATAGACAAAGATTGTGATGGTGGGATGGTGACTGAAATGTCTAGAATAGAACGTATATTATGAGTTAAAGGTCTCATTATGTGTGGTTCTTTAGTTGGAGTGTTGCGGGAGATGTAGCATGGTTTGGATAAATTTCCCAATTGTTGTTGGGATTGGTAATTTCTAAAGATAAAGGTAAAATATGCTCATTGAATAAATATTTAAGGATATGAAGTTTTTTTTGGATCTTAGGTCAATAAGAAAAACTACTTTATAACATGTTTTGTATCTCAAGAAAATATATTTTCTTGCCCTCACATCAATTTTTGTTCTATGTGATTGTAAAGTGGATGCATATGCAAGACAACAAAACACTTTGAAAGAATTAAGGTTGGGTTCTTTTTCAAATAGGGTAAAATATGGTGATTTGTTTTTGAGGATTGGTATGGTGGCCCCGTTGATGAGAAATGTTACATGGTTGAGGGCATAAGACCAATAATGCTTAGGTAATTTGGATTGGTATGATAGAACATTTAAAATGTGTCGATGTTTTCATTATACTCTTCTATTTTGTCGAAGAGTTTCAACACATGATTTTTGATGTTGAATGCCTTTGGAATCGTAAAAGAAAAATAGGAAGATTCAAGACCATTGTTTGTTCTAATGATTTAAGGTGTGGTTTTGTATTGGTTTTCAATCATGCGCGCAAAGTTTTGAACATCTGAAGCAACTTCTAATTTGGTTTTTATTAGTCTGATTTATGTGAATCTACTAGTCATCATAATTACAAAAATACTTCTAGTATTTTATGAAAGTTTCTAATTTGAAAAATGACAAAAATCACACACTGATTTATTATCATTGGTAATAGTTTTTTTGATAAGCAAAGAGAGAATAATATATCACCACAAAATACTAGAAGTACTCCAACCGCGGTACAAAATCACATCAATTCACAAAAACTACATCACTTAGAGTTAAAGGAATTCTCAAAGATATTTACACCAAAAATAATAGCAGCATATCATTGGTAATAGTTGAATATAGTTTATACATATCACTCGATTTATGATTAGAAATGTGTCCTAACTTTGTACCCAAAAAAAAAAATACGTCCTAACCTATAATACCACATTGAATTTTAAGGAATAACATTGAAAAGTAAATGAATATCAATGTTGTTTACAATTTTATGATTGAAGCAGAGTTTAAAAATGGGTTGGTAAGTAGTAAGTTAAGTTTGGTGTTCCTCATCAATTTCAACAATCAATTTATTTGATTATCCAAACTAATCATCTTTAAGGACTTCATGTCATGTAAGTAACAATATGAATTCAATCGTGGATAACCACATATCTCCTAACTTTCAAGGATGACAAATTTGTCAATGGAATGGTGTGGTAGTGAATGATATTATAGACTTGACATAGAAGCTTAGAAATGATTATTTAACTTTTAAGGAGCAATTTGATGAGCGGTATCAAGGTAGGATTCTAACTTGTGTGTTTTTATGAAGTTTACATGTTCTTGTTAATTGGAGTCCCAAATAAAATATTAATACTCAAATTAGGCTCTAGTAGTAAAATCCTAAACTCTTGTAATTTTTGCAAGTGGTTGAGGGGCTGAGTGGTTTGTTTTGTTGATCATAATATTGTAGTATTTTTTTCGTGTTTACAAAGGGAAACTCAAGTCTTATTTTTTCTCATATGTTGATGATATATACTCTCGCTATAGAAAGAGTGAGAATAAAGAATATAAGGACGATTAAGATGATTCTTAGGTGTTTTAAATATGTGTCGTGTCTTCATATCACTTTTGAAATAGTAATATTATAAGGGTAAATGTAGATGAATCTTTTTTATAAATAAGCTCTTTGTGAGAAGTCGATATGGAGGGCCTAAACGAAGGCTAAGCTCTTTGCTAGGAGTTCTTAATAGCAAGGTGTGTTTGTATGGTCTCCATTTTGGAGTCGTGCTTGGATATAGGTCACTATGATTCTTTATATGATTGTTTCCCCCAAAAGAGATGTGAAAGTGATTGGAAATGGCTTGTTTACTTTTTCTAGAATGAAACTCGGGTGAGGATGAAAACTCTTAGGTTGCATTTTGATTTCTAAGGTTGTACTTGGTCTCCGTCTAGTACAAATGGTTGCATCATATAAATCTGTGAGGTAAACTCTTTTATGATGCTGTATAAAATACCTATTAATATCTCAAGCTTATCTTCACCACAATATATAAAACAACTTTGCAACAGGTTCAAAGATGTGCCGTTGATGAGACAGTTTTCATCGCAACATATGAAGGAAACCATAATCATTCACTTCCACCAGAAGCCAGGTTGACAGCAAACACAACATCAGCAGCACTAAGCATGTTTCTTTCCGGTTCAACCACCAGTTTACATGGCAACACACTCTCAAATCCATGCCTTTTCTCTCCATCATCAACATCATCATCATCATCATCATCATCATCATCATCACCATCTAGTATTTCTTCTACCTCCATTGGCTTATCTACTTTCTATTCATATGCATCATCATGTCCCACTATAACATTGGACTTAACGCAACCCTCAACCGATTTCTTCAAATCCCAAACGCCAATTTCTCCAAACCAGCACTACACTCAACAATCTCAAGAGGGTTTGTGTTTGTCTTCTAAGCTTTCAAATGCAATGATACCATCAGAGAAAAACGTTCCATTGATGGATGATGTGATTGCAGCTATAATAAAGGATCCTTCTATTAAGGCAGCATTAGATGCAGCTGTTGCTTCACTCACTGGAGTAGTGTTGCATCAGTGATCAATTACAAGTAGTTTAGACTTGGTTGTAATTATTGCCATTAAATTAAACAGCAAGTCGCTCAAATTAAACTTGCATGTTTAATTTGAATACATATTTCCTAGCATATATACATGAGTTTTTGTCATCTACCATAAATTGAATATAATTTGTAACACAGGATTTATGAAATGGTGGTATGGCAAGTAGTATATCTTTCATAGGGTAGGCAAATAGTGAATATCCATTAAAATGACGAAAAATTTCACTTACCTCTTATTTTATAATATCCATTATATATATATATATATATATATATATATATATATATATATATATATATATATATATATATATATATATATATATATATATATATATATATATATATATATATATATATATATATATATATATATATATATATATATATATATATATATATATATATATATATATATATATATATATATATAAAATAAATTTTATAACGAAGTTGTTATCTCAATCAATATCCAACTGATATGTAAACTATAAGCGCATTATTTTTATAATTTTTTATACTCTAAAAGAAGACTACCTGTACCTTAGGTTGAGCTGACGATAGCACAAGCTTTCGATTTCAATGGACTATACTTTTTAATTTTAATTTTAAAAATACTACATATCCCTTTAGTTGAGTTAACAATTGATAGGAAAAATATTTCACTTAGTACCTTTTAATATAATTTTTTTATTTAAAAATGAGAGTCTATTATACCGGTTAGGATGAAAATTGATAGATAAAGTGAACACCTTCGGTTAAGCCACCCAACCGATAAAAAGTCTTTTAGTTTTTTTAATTAAAATCATGGCGCCATATTTTATCAGTTGTGGATAACAACTGTGATAGATAAAATATTACCTATTACTTTGGTTTAACCACTCATGCAAGGGGAAAATTCAAACACATTAATATTTCTATAATAAAGAGAGTTTTAAAAAAAGAGCGCTATTTTCTTTTCTCTTTCGAAATTAAATAAATCTTAAATCGAATCTTTATCTTATCCATCGAAACTTCATCTTCTCCACTAAACAACTCAAAAATTCATTTATCCTATAAAAGAAAATCGAAAAACATGACTTTTTCTATAATGAGTTTCAAAACTTCATTCTTTCCATAAACGTGTTTGAAACTCGAATGAAGCATGGAAAGATAACGAAACTCAAAGAGAAGCTTCCTTCACCAATGTCTTTGTCTTCTTCATCCCGTTTTTGATACATAAGTGCTTTCATCAAACATGTAACTCAGAAATGCTAGTTGTTAGTGTTGTTAAAAGGTTTAATATTATTGTTATTATTGTTATTAAGATTGAAGATTTAACTATGTTAGTAATATATGTTTTTGTTGTTGCTAAGAGTAATCTGCTTAATGTAACCATTCATGTAACACATCAGCTACAAAGGCATTTTTGTCCAACAAAAAGAGCTTTCCCAGAGAACATGGTCTCTGGCAAAGCCAATACTTATTATTTTGATTTCGTTGAGAGTGCCCATTCTTGCTCAACAAACTCTCTGCTAGTATAATTCTCTATTCAATGATACTTTTGATATTCTAGGATTAGTTAAACTGTATTTGTGAAGGACATAAGTCATAGTGATTATAAAGGGATTTAAATTAAAGACAATTTTTTTTCTTAAGGGGACAAATGCTGGAAAAAATGTTTAAGCATGGGTATTCAACATCTTACATCAGAATTAACTCTCAGTTGATAAACAAGATGATAAAACAAAAAATCAATAAAGGAACACAAAAAATTGTTATTCCACTTTGGTGAAACCACACCTACATCTGGGGGCACTCTACCCAAGAAAGAAAATTCACTATCTTGAATTAGTACAATTAGTCTTATATGAACAAAAATCTCATGTTGTTCAATTTCTCTTCCTAATCATAATGACTTTCTATTTAGGTCTCCCCCTAAATATGAAAACCCCTCTCACTTTCTTTCAATTACTAATCCCAAATGATTGTTCCTTCAATAAACAACTTATTGTATGTTGAATTACAACTCAACTAAACAAACCAACAATATGCCTTATGATATGAATGAGGGTTCTAGCATTGTGCGTTGGAACAAAATTGGTTTGTATCATATCTCTAAGGTTTTTATGATAACAAAGTATTTAAATAACAATATGGTATACTAACGAATATTCAAGTGCGCATGATCATATATTAATTTTTTTGAAGAAAACCTAGTACTGGTACACAGAATGGACATTTAAAAGAGAAGCTAAAGATCCATATTCTAGAAAATCAGAAGTTCAAGACCAGACTCTGAATGACGTCAGTCTTTGAATGATGTCAGCATATGAAGATCCAAACTCTGAAGATCCAGATGTTGAAGTGTTAACCTATGGAGATTCAGACTCTGAAGATCTAGTCTACACAAGGATCGAGGATTTTTTGTTCTTCTGATCACGTGAAAACTTTAAGCTAAAATCTACATAAGACACCTAAGATACAATAAATTATTCCTTTTGTAACAAAGGAATTTCAAATAAGTTTTCAATGGTTTTAACCATATTAATAAACATATCAACGTCTCTAAATAAAGCTTCTCAAAGACTCTCTTGTGTAAACCTTCAGCGAATCTTTTCTTTATCTTTATATAAGGAGCTGAAAACTTGAATAAAAATAATGAGCTATTGAAATTCAAAAAGTTGTTACTTGGTAAATTAAAAAGCAAAAGTTTAACTTAGAATTTCTTAACCCTTGTATATTCTATAAATTCTTAAGTTTCTAAGAGTCTTTATGTGTTGTATTTTGTCTACACCTCTGATTGTATATCAAGTGTAGTTTTTCACAATATCTTAATTGTAAGTTAGAGTTTAAGAAGTATCTTGCTAAGTGCTTGAGAATTTGAAGTCTCTTTCCTATGTGCTTGAGCATTAGAAGTCTCTTGCTTGTTTGTTTGAGCATTGGAAGTCACTTGCTTATGTACTTGAGGATAAAAGTCTCTTACTTGTGTGTTTGAACATTGAAATTCTCTTGCTTTGTGCTTGAGCAATTGCAATCAGTTTTTGTTATAGTAAAAATCCCTTGGAAGTTCAAGCGGACTGGATTACCCTCGATTTGTGGGAGGAACCGAGATAATTGTTTGTATCTCTCTTGTTTTCCTTTCTACCTCTGAATTGCTTTATTCCGCTACTAAACACTTTACTCAGATTCAAATTTTAGACCATGTGTTCAGAATTTGATAAGAGATTTTCATAAAAGAAAAAGAAAGAAAACACAATTCAACCTCCCTTCTTGTGTTTTTCTCACCTTCGTGGTGTAAAAGAAATACAAACAAAGTACTCAAATAAAAAACCCAAACACTAGGTATATTCAATATGTGCTCGTCCTTTTCAAAATTTGATTTGACCATGTCCAATTTAATCTCCATTTAAATTTGATTTGACCATGTCTAATTTAACCAAAAAAATCTACTTAAATGCATTACTAAAATATAAAAACAAATCTGATTGAACCAACCAGAAAAAAAACGCGTAGAACAACTACAAGATTAACCTGCTGACAAGGGACGAATGCTTCACACATTCTGGGACATTTGTTCCTACACGTGTCCTTTCTTCACGAAAATAACTTGAACATACCATGTTGTTTTGTATAATATAGCCAACCTAAAAAGGAACTACAATCTCCCCCTCTGGCAAAATTTTCCAAAATAACACTTTCAAAAACATACAAAATATGCAATATAAATTGAGCATTAAGCACTCCACACACAAGCACATAGGGCTAACAGTAGCAACATAATCAAAATTCATTAAATATGGTTGCTACATCAATCACAATGCTTCATACAGTCAGGTACACAATCATTTAGCATGCATGCAAACATAGTCAATAGTTATCAGTCAGGTGTTGAAGCGGTAAAGCGGCAAGAAAAAATATTAAGTACCCAGTTTTGTCGTCTCCACAGGGATTGGTGGAAGGGAAAGAATGTCATTCGACAATCTCTACGTCTCTAAGCTTGGTTTTAATGGTTTGGGATAAAAATGCAAAAAAAAAAACATAAAACGAGAAAATAAATACATTCTTAAGAAATGAGAAAACTCGTCAAAAGTTGTATTTGGTTCCACCCATCATGTACTATAAAATATATGTATCAAATGCATGCAACCTAAATCGCTCGTCAATATCATCACGTATCGCTTACAACAGAGGTTATGTCTAACGCAAAGTCGAGAGGTCAACTGTATCGTCTAATCGATGATGTCTCACGCAACTCGACAACACAGAGCATTAAGAATCAATACCCACGTGAATATTAATCCTAAATCTATGCCTAGAGTTTATAATCTAACAGTTGTTCATCTTAGGTCGAGTTCGAACCGTATATGTCTATAGCAATCCAAACCCATTAAGTAAAAAATCAAGATAACCATCGATAAAGAGTTGTAAAATAGATTTTATACAAAGATTCATAAATATACATACAATCAAGATAAACTTACATACAAAACCCCAACAAATAGAGAGTACAAAGAGAAGAAAGAAGAAGAACACAAATCTCACGGTCTGTCAACTCCGATTGAAGTGGATTCGACTCCTAATCGTCAAGATGCACACTCTAATATTGTTTCTAAGCTAAATCTACTTAAGAATATTTTTGATGAAGTTGGGGTAAAAAGTTCCCAACAACATAATCTTAAAAATGCTTAAAAGTGACTTAAATAGGCAAAAATGGGTTTCCGTGTTTGCACTGCGAACTCCCGTTCGCCCAGTGAACATATGCCACCTTAGCTACTGCCAAAACAGTGTTTTCCATGCTTCTGGGAAATTTTTATTTTCCTTGAGTTCGCAGTGCAAACTCTTGGCGAGTTCGCTCGCCTCCAGTTCGCACAGCGAACTTGATAGTAGACCAGCACTTGTTTTGACCATAACTTTTAAACCGTAACTCTGTTTTACGCGCAGTCAGAAGCATTGGAAAGCATTCTATATAAGAAAATGACAAAATATCATTGCTTAT